CAGAAAGTCCTGGAGAGATGTTCTACAGACATTAAGGGAACATGAATGCCAGTCCAGGCTACTATACCCAGCAAAGTTTTCAATCACTATAGATAGAGAAAACAAGATATTCCATTACAAAACCAGATTTAAACAATACATACTCACAAGTCCAACCCTACAGAAAGTACTGGATAGAAAACTCTAACCTAAGGAAGTTAACTACATTCACAAAAAAAATAGGCAATAGATAATCCCACTTTACCAAAAGACAAAGAAAAAAATGAGGTAAATCCACAAACAATACCAACAACAACAAATCAAAAACAAACAAGAATTAACTCAATAGTGCTTGATTTCCCTCAATAATAATGATCCTAATTTACCTATAAAAAGACACAGACTAACAGAATGGATACAAAGACAGAATCCATCCTTCTGCTGCATACAAGAAACACACCTCAACTTCAAAGACAGACATTACCTCAGAGTAAAGGGTTGGGATACAATTTTCCAATCAAATGAACCCAAGAAAGAAGCTGGTGTAGCTATCCTAGTATCTAAAAAATTACACTACAAACTAATATCAATCAAAACAGATGAAGAAGGTCATTTCATATCCATCACAGGAAAAATTCATCCAGATGAAGTCTCAATTCTGAACATCTATGCCCCAAATATAAAGGCATCCACGTTCGGAAAAGAAACACTACTAAAACTCAAAGCACATATAAGACCTCACACAGTGATAGTTGGAGACTTCAACACCCCACTCTCACTACTAGATAGGACCACCAGACAGAAACTTAACAAAGAAACAAAGGAACTAACACAAGTTATGACTCAATTGGGATTAACAGACATCTATAGAACATTCCATCCAAACACAAAAGAATATACCTTCTTCTCAGTGCCACATGGGACCTTCTCTAAAATTGACCACATACTAGGCAACATAGCAAACCTCAAAAGGTACAAAAAAAATTGGAATAACACCCTGCATCCTATTGAATCATCATGGTTTAAAGTTAGAATTAAAGAACAACAACACAAATTGCAGGAACCCTACAAACTCATGGAAATTGAACAATGCTCGATTGCACCATTCCTGGGTCAAGGAAGAAATAAAAAAATTAAAGACTTCCTAGAATTCAATGAAAATGAAGGCACAACATACCCAAACTTATGGGATACTTTGAAAGCAGTACTAACAGGAAAGTTCATAGTACTAAGTGCCCATAGGAAAAAACTGGAAAATAGTCTCACTAGAGAATTAACAGCATAACTGAAAGCTCTAGAACAAAAAGAAGCAAACTCACCTCAGAGGAGTAGACACCAGGAAATAATCAAACTGAGGGCTGAAATTAATAAAGTTGAAACAAAGAAAGCAATACAAAGAGTCAATGTAACAAAGAGTTGGGTTTTAGAGAAAATCAACATAGACAAACCGTTATCCAAACTAACCAAAAGGCAGAGGGAGACTATGTAAATTAGCAAAATTAGGAATAAAATGGGGCACATAACAATGGACAGTGAGGAAATCCAGAAAATCTTCAGGTCATACTTTGAAAAAATTATACTCCACAAAATTTGAAAACTTAAAGGAAATGGACAATTTTCTGGATAAATATCACTTATCAAAATTAAATCAAGAACAGATAAGCAATTTAAACAGATCTATAACCTCTAATGAAACAGAAGCAGTCATCAAAAGTCACCTAACCAAAAAAAGCCCAAGCCCAGATAGCTTCAATGCAGAATTCTACCAGAAATTCAAAGAAGAGCTAATACCAGTACTCCTCAAAGTGTTCCACACAATAGAAACAGAAGCATCATTGCCAAACTCTTTTTATGAGGCTACAATTATCTTGGTACCCAAACCACACAACGACACAACAGAGAAAAAGAACTACAAACCAATATCGCTCATGAACATTTATGCAAGAATACTCAAAAATACTGGCAAATCGAATCCAAGAACACATCAGAAAAATCATCCACCATAATCAAGTAGGCTTCATCCCGGGATGCAGGGATGGTTCAGCATATGAAAATCTATCAATGTAATCCACCATATAAACAAGCTGAAAAAGAAAAACCACATGATCATCTCACTAGATTCTAAAAAAGCGTTTGACAAAATCCAACACCCCCTCATGATAAAGGTCCTGGAGAGATCAGAGATAACAGGAACATACATAAACATAATAAAGGCAATATACCGCAAACCAACAGCCACCATCAAACTAAATGGACAGAAACTCAATGCAATTCCTCTAAAATCAGGAACAAGACAAGGCTGTCTACTCTCTCCATATCTCTTCAATACTGTACTTGAAGTTCTAGCTAGAGGAATAAGACAACAAAAGGAGATCAAGGAAATACAAATTGGAAAAGAAGAAGTCAAACTTTCACTATTTGCAGATGATATGATAGTTTACCTAAGTGACCCAAAAAATTCTACACAGCAACTCCTACAGCTGATAAACACCTTCAGCAAAGTATCAGGATACAAAATTAACTCAAAAAATCAGTAGCCCTACTACATGTAGATGATAAATGGGCTAAGAAAGATATCAGAGAAACATCACCCTTTACAATTGCCACACACAACATAAAATATCTTGGGGTAATTCTAACCAAACAAGTGAAAGACATGTATAGCAAGAGTCTTTGAGTCTTCAAAGAAATAAATAAGATACCAGAAAATGGAAAGATCTCCCATGCTCTAGGATAGGTAAGATCAACATAGTAAAAATGGCAAAAAAAAAATGGCAATCTTGCCAAAAGCAATCTACAGATTCAATGCAATCCCATCAAAATACTAGCACAATTCTTCACAGACCTTGAAAGAACAAAACTTTATATGGAAAAACAAAAGATACAGGATATGGAAAACAACCCTGTAATCAGAAAGGAACTTCTGGAGGCATCACCATCCCTGACTTCAAGCTCTATTATAAAGCTATAGCCCTAAAAACAGCTTGTTATTGGCACAAAAAAAAATAGACAGGTAGACCAATGGAGTCAAATAAAAAACCATGATATTAACCCACACACCTACAAACACCTAATTTTTGACCAAAAAAAGTTAAAATTATGCAATGGAAAATAGATAGCATCTTCAACAAATGGTGCTGGCATAACTGGATGCTGGCATAGAGAAGACTGCAGACAGATCCGTATCTGTTGCCATGCACAAAACTTAAGTCCAAATGGAGCAAAGACCTCAACAGAAATCCAGTCACACTGAACCTCTTAGAAGAGAAAGTGGGAAGCACCCTTGAACAAATTGGTACAGGAGACAGCTTCCTGAACATAACACAAGTAACACAAACACTGAGATCCACAGTTAATAAATGGGACCTCCTGAAACTGAGAAGCTTCTGTAAGGCAAAGGACACAGTCAATAATACGGCAGCCCACAGAATGGGAAAAGATATTCACCAACCCCACATCTGACAGAGGGCCGATCTCCAAAATATACCAAGAATTCAAGATGCTAGTCATCAAAACACCAAATAATCCAATTTAAAAGTGGGGTGCAGAACTAAATAGAGACTTGTCAATAAAGGAATGTAAAATGACTGAAAGACACTTAAGAAAGTGCTCAACATCCTTAGCCATGGATGTTGCATTTGCATTCAGGGAAATGTAAATCAAAGCAACTCTGGGATGCCATTTTGCTCCTGTCAGAATGGCTAAAATCAAAACCACCTATGACAGTTTATGCTGGAGAGGATGTGTAGAAAGGGATACACTCCTCCTCTGCTGGTGGTAGTGCCATCTCATACAGCCACTTTGGAAATCAGTATGGCAGTTCCTCAGGGAAATGAAAATCAGTCTACCACAAGATCCAGCAATTCCACTCTTAGGCATATACCCAAAAGATGCACATTCATCCATACAAGGACATCTGTTCAACTGTGTTCACATAGCAGCACAATTTGTAATAGCCAAAACCTCAAAGTAACCTAAATGTCCCTCAACTGAAGAATGGATAAAAAAATGTGGTACATTTACACAATGGAGTACTACTCAGTGGAAAAAAAACAATGGAATCTTGAAATTCTCAGGCAACTAGATGGAGCTAGAAGAAACCATCCTGAGTGAGGTAACCCAGTTACAAAAAGACAAGCATGGTATGTACTCACTCATATATGGATTTTAGACATAGAGCAAATGATTACCAGTCTACAATCCACACCACCAGAGAAGCTAGGAAACAAGTAGGACCCTAAGAGACATACATGGTCCCCTGAAGAAGGTAAAAGGGGCAAGATTTCCTGAGCTAATTGGGATCTTGGTGGAGGGGAGAGGGAGTTAGGAGAAAGAGGAGGGAAGAGGAGGACAGGAGGGAGCAGGAAGATTAAGTCAGGGGAAGAATACAGGAGAGCATGAAAAGAAATACCATAATAGAGGGAGCCATTATGGATTTAAAGAGAAATCTGGCACTAGGGAAATGTCCAGAGATCTACAAGGATGACCCTAAGTAACTAAGTAGCAGTGCAGAGGCTACCTTAAATGTCCTTCCCCGATAATGAGATTGGTGACTACCTTATATGCCATCCTAGAGCCTTCATCCAGTAGCTGATAGAAGCAGAAGCAGACACCCACAGCTAAACACTGAGCTGAACTCCTGGAATCCAGTTGCAAAGAGGGAGGAGTGATGAGCAAAGGGATCGAGACCATAGAAACAGCTGACCTGAACAAGGGGGAGCTCATGGACTCCAGACTGATAACTGGGAAACCAGCATAGGACTGATTCAGACCCCCTGAACATGGGTGTCAGATACAAAGCCTGGACAATCTATGGGGCCTTTGGTAATGGATCAGTAAAAGAATGGACTTTGGAAGTCCATTACACATAGAGGGCCTAGGCCCTACCCCAAATGATATGACAGATTTTGAAGACTCCCATGGAAAGCCTCACCCTCCCTGGGGACCAGAAAGGGGATGGGATAGGGGGTCTGGTGGGGGACAGGGGAGGAGGGGAAGGAGAGAGAACTGGGATTGACGTGTAAAACAAGCTTGTTTCTAATTTAAATTTTAAAAAGGAAAAAATGTTTTCTTTCATAAGAGTAGTGATGGCCATGGTGTCTCTTCACATCAATAGAGCAATGGCTAAGACACTATCCAAAGTCATGATCAAAGAATATTCAGCACTTTTAGTTTCCTGAGAAAAGGAGGACTTGCATTAAGAAATGCAGTTCTAGCAACTAATGCCTGCTTTTCTGGTCTAAGTTATTTTGATGCGATCTCACAGCAAGTCACTAATCACCAGCCTTCCTACTTGCACCATTAGAAAAGCTTTGCAATGCAGTGACCCAACTTCCAGTCACACCCATCTTAGAGAGCTGTCATAGTCAACCAAGATCATATCCCATGAACACTGTATTTGTGGGACGGTCATTGACAGTGTTGTTGTCCAAGAGTTGTACCTGTGTAATTCCTGAAACTGTTGTCAAAATGTGTTCACCCACACTGGTAGAGAAGTACCACGTGGTACCAGTATGCAGCTCAGGTCAACCCCCAATGGGTTGGGCACATACCAGAAGTACTAGGATGGGCGAAATGCAGGCATTTAAGGATGAGCAGATGGAAGAGCCTGGGGGATCAGCAGATGCAGGAGTTCGTGGAGTAGACAGATACAGGAGTGCAGGGATGAACCGATGCAGAGATTAGAGGCCTCCTACACAAGAACATAACTTGGAGTACTCCTTGAATTGTCCAAATCCATCTCTAAAGAGAGCAACCCATCATGTAAGTCCAAACCCACATTTTCTCAGGATCACCCAATCACAGAAAGCTCAGTCGACAAGGCGAGGGTGCTACAGCTAGTGCATACATCTGCATTCTGTGAACATGCCAGCAGCTGTCAGTCCTAAGGTGAGACTCATCTCTCTGTGTGTCTTCTAAATAGATTGGAGAGTTGTTCCTAATGGGAATGGTGCAGCCACATGTTCAAGGCTGGAGTGAAAATCAGAATGGAGCCCAAAACTGAAACGGTCAGGAAGAGCCACAGGAAGATGCGGTCAAGAACTTGAGCCACAAATTTCCAGTCTTGCACTACCTGCAAAAGACGAAAGGGAGCCTTTCATTCAAGAAGCTGAGCAGCTCTTCTGAACTCATGAGGGGACATAAAAAGAGCAATGTTGGACTTAGGTCACTTTTTTAAGTTTTCAAAATGTGTATACGCATCACTAATGGGCTTAGAGTCTCGTCCAGTGATGTTATTCATCCCACCCCAAAAATATCACTTGCAAGTTGAGTGTTCAGGAACACTTATCAACAGTGAAGATGTAAATAGAAACTACAGAATTATTTGTGTACTTGGAAATATTGCTAATCAAACACACACACCAAAAAAATCCCCAATTTTTATACAATGCCTCCTGATATACCTATGATACCAAACACAAATTGGTATCTATAGACCATTTGTAGTTAATTGTCACAAGAGTTTCCTCCTACTCCACATGTGGGCATGGCTCCTCTAACTCCAGAAGACATCACTGAGGAAGAGAAGAAGGGAAAGTTTGGACAGGCATTCTTGGAGCCTTTAGTTAGACTGGGATGTTGTAGGAGAATGGGTACCAAGCTTGGAGCAGCAGGTACAGTAGAGAACAAACCACAGACTAGGGAAATCTGTGAGAAACACATGGGAGCTCACCTTTCAAGGGATACAGAGTGCAGTTTCTTCACAAGAAAGAAAATACACTCAATGGAAACCACTTCAGATCTTAAAAGAAAAGGGAAGAGGGAGAAATGGATAGAGGAAGGAGAGGACCTTCTGTATTCTAGGGACACACAGTACCATCTCTCCAGGAATCTCCCAGAAGTATTGCACTTGTGGTAGATTGCCAGGGAAAACCAGGACACTGTTCAGAGAATAGCTAGCCAGTTGAGTACTGTGATCAATATTTTCGGTTGCAGTACCTGTAGACAAGGATTTGGTAAAGATGGAATAGACCAGGAGGCCCACCCACTGACAGGAGGGGACAGCAGGCTGTTCTGAACTTTCCAATTTTAAAAACAAAACTGTAGCATAAAACACATAAGCAAGAGACAGTAAAGTGTTAAAATGTTAACCTTAGGTAGTGGGATTATTAGTGATTGAGATCCTCTTGTCTAAGGTGTCCAAATTATCTGTGCTGATCATATTTTTAAACCCACTTAAATATCTATATTAGTATTTACAAAAGATGTAAAGAAGTAAAACAAAAGCTACTTCCCTAGCTAAAGCATATCTATAAAAGCTGGTAATTTTCTAGTCTTTTTTTTTCACTCAAAATCTTTAACTGTATGAAAAAACATGAAGAGTTAGAGGGAAGATAAATCAGGATGAACACTCAAAGATAAAATATAAGGTATGCTTTCAAAACCACTTTCCTAACCCTGTTTGTGAGCCTTGATCTAGTTTTCAAGAATTTTAGAGTGAAATGCCTGAACCCTGCCTGTGGATGGGGTATAGATAAAGGCTACTTTCAGCCTGTGTACTGACTGATTATTGTTAATTTCTTCCTTGCCATGTTCTTCATTTCTGGGTTCCAGAAAAATGAGGTTCTGGCAAAGTAACATGTCACATGGGTAGGAGTGAGTCTGTGGCCAGGATGATAGTACCTCTGAAACCTGGGTATTTCTGGTTTTGAGGCAGGCTCTAACTATGTGAGCATTGTTGACCTCAAACTCCTAGGTAGCTAGAATTCCAGCATAGAACCACCCAGTACTTGTTTTTCTGTAAAGTTACACTAAGTAACAAGCTCCTTTTCCCTTGAGGAAGCATCTGTTGTAGCTAAACTTGTATGACTGTTCAAATTTTGATTCTTTCTAGTCACTAGAGGCATTTCTAAACACTGGGTTTAAAAACATCATAGCATGAAAAAGTAAAAAGTACCACAGACCAGGGGAACCCACTGAGTTCTTTAAGATGGAATTGAGGATTTATGGAGAGCAACGCTGAATCTGCAGCTGCTTGTTTTTAGTCACTATGCTTTTGTGAACTTTATTCCCTAAACATTTAATGCTGGGATTGTTTTTATATGGTATCCATAGGCTAGCTGATAGTGCCATTGTAAGCAAGGACCACACCCCGCTGTAAGGGACAGCAGCATGGTGCTCTTGAGTGCTCATCAGTGACAGCACTACCGCATCACAGTGGACTCACCTGGCTAATGAAATGCTCCTTCTTCACGTGCCTTGAGATGTACCTGATAGACTCAGCCGCCCTTTCCAGGAAAGTGACCAGAACTTTTTCTCCATCACTAGTAGGAATCTGTTTCTTTTTCCCTGAGACTTTGCCCCTCACTGCTGCTCTCCTCTCCTCTCCATCAGGGAAAGAGAAGCGGTCCATGGGGTCCTTCATGCAAAGCCACCTCGGGAGTTTTTGCAGAAACAGCCTCTTCACCCAGGGGGCCATGGAGTGGTACGTTGAAGAAGATCTGTGGTGGACGTTAATGACGAACACTGTGACGATAATTGACAGGGTGACGAAAATCATGATGAAGAGGAGGTACTCGCCAATGAGAGGAATGACTTTTGAAGAAGATGGGATGATTTCTTCAATTACTAAAAGAAACACTGTCAGAGAGACCAAAACCGAGGTCGATAGTGAAAGCTTTTCCCCTTCATCAGAAGGTAAGTAGAACACCAGGACTGTGAGAAAAGACAGCCCCAGGCAGGGGATTATCAAAAAGAGGGTGTAAAACAATGGCAGGCGTCTCAGAACAAAAGAATAGGTCACAAATGGGTAGGAATAAGAACCTTCTCTTCTGTTACCCTTCATGCCCTTTGCATCTAATATCTCCCACTCTCCATTATCAAAAAAGTCTTTCCGGTCAACATTTTCATTGATCAGAATGAGGTCAACCATGCTACCATCGTAAGTCCAGGATCCAAACTTCATTGAGCAGTTCTGCCTGTCGAATGGGAAAAAAGTGACGTCCATGGTGCAGGAACTTTTGTAGCTAGCAGGAGGAGTCCAACTGATGGTTCCACCGGATCTCACAATGGCCTTGGTCATGAGGGAGCCTTCGAAACGTCCGTCAGCACTGCCATGAAAGTAGTTAACACTTTAGTGGCTGGCCAAACACTCACTGTTGGGAGGGTTTCCCCGCCAGTCCACTATGTATGCTGCATTTGTCTCCTGCCATAATGCCAATCAATATTTGACAAACAAATCAATTTGATACATAAAGTTAATTATCCCTCCCAAATCAGACTTTTCTGTATCCTGGGTTAATCTGACTAATGTCGTACTCTAAGATACTTACTTTTCAAAGAGAACTATGTCAGGAAGCCAGAGAGATTCTGATGGAACCTTTATCGAATTAATTCCACCATACTCTTCAGGATTCCAGCGTAATTTTTGGTCTGTCCATTCCTGCATGAAATGAGTAATGAGACGATTTTATTCTGGAAATTCAATGCTTTAGAGCTTGGGGGTCTTCAAATTTCTAAGACTTACCAGCCCACCCATTTTGTTACAAAAGGGGTTTTCTCACAGATTAGACCCTGCCATCCCATCTAGGATTCAGTAAGGCTTCAGCCTGGCCGCTGACCCTCCACCTGCCCATGTGTGAACCAGTCAAGAGGCGTTAATTAACGACTCGTGCTTCTACCCTGTTTTCTCTTAAGAAACAAACAGAAATGTTGTTGTTTTTACTTTTACTCCTTACTCTTTACTCTTTTGGAGGCCTGATACTCAGTTCCCAAATGTCACTCACACAGAAACTTACTTACGAGTGCCCAGCCTTAGGTTGGTTTCTTTCTAGTCAGCTTTCCGTAACTTAAATTATCCCATCTACCTTTTGCCTCTGGGCTTTTTCCTTCTACTTCCGTATGTCTGACTTCCACTCTCACTCCATGGCTGGCTGTGTGCCTGGGTGACTGGCCCCTGATGTCCTCCTTGATCTCCCATTCCTTCTCCTTCCTTGCTCCGCCTCCAGCTTTCTCCCCCTATTTATTCTCTCTGCCAGTCAGCCCCGCCTATCCTTGCTCCTGCCTCGCTATTGGCTGTTCGGCTCATTAGACCCTCAGCTGTTTCAGACAAAGACTCACAGCTTCACAGAGTTAAACAAATGCAGCACAAACAAACGCAGTGCACCTTAAAATAACATTCTTTAACACAGTAAAGTCACAGCTGTGTGGGAAGGCACACGCCTCTAGTCCCAGTACTTGGGAAGTTAAGCCAAGAGAACCATGAGCTCAAAGTTAGCCTGATTTATACAGTAAGACCCCTTATATAAAGTCATATCTAATCTCATCCAGTTTATTCCAGGAGGATTTGTCGCAGTGCCCTGACAATGGGAATGTATGATTTGGGCCTCTTACTGTGAAATGTCCAAGATCTGTGACCATTGCTGATGGCATTGTCACTTTTGAACAGTGAGAACGGATGGAAGACTTTCCTTTTATGGTTTATCTGAAGTGGTTTGTAAGCTCCTAATTGACATTTTAAATTATGTCCCTAATATCCTGAGCCTCCACGTGTTTATATTTTTTCTTCAAGCATTAGAAGGGTATACCCAGTGTGAGACTTCCTGGAGCCCGGCAATGCCATCCATGTCATTAAATATCAAGAATCGCCAGATGGGTGCCTTAATTGGATAGCAAAATACTGAAATATGAATGATGCCTAAAAAGTTCAAATTGCTTCCTAAATATTTATGTTTATGCCCATAGATTTGTGAGGCTCTCTACCTTGATCAAAAAAGAAAGAAAGAAAGAAAGAAAGAAAGAAAGAAAGAAAGAAAGAAAGAAAGAAAGAAAGAAACTTTGCTTCTAGGAGATAGTGGTCAATGCAGGGACCCATAACTGTTCAGACTGTTAAGAATAAGTGATTGTGAGTGTTTGGTGGTAAGACAGGGCATCTGTATCAACCTCCCCAAATTCAGCCACCCCACCCATGGCTCAGAGAACATCACAGAAGAGGGGACAGAAAAATTGAAAGAGCCAGAGGTCAGGGTCAGACAGTGTCTTCTGGACATGACCGAGCGCTGCACTCCTAAACTGACTGTAGCTATGACTGCATACACAAAATGTGCACAGGATCAAACATTCCTGTACAGACTGGGAAGCGACCCCAAGCTACCACTCCATCTGAGTAGTCATTGGCAGTCGGTGGCCACTAACGGAGAGAAAGAGAGTGTGTTTTCCTTAGGGGTGGGTGGCCCCACACCCATGCCTATATAGATAGCTATAATCAAACTCAGAAAACAAGAGGGTTATTAAAAGGGGGGGACATAAAACTGAGTGGGTGGGAGAGGCAGAGAATGGATATAAACAAAATGCACTGTACACAAGTATGAAATTCTAAGAGAACAAACTTAAAATATTATATATCTGTAATTACCTTTCCTTTAGATTTACTATAATAGGAGAGATGAATACTTGATTTGACATGTAAAAAAAACTGTTCACTCAAACTATCTTTTTGTATTATTTCCTGTTCCTTCTGGCAAAGCGGCTTATGTGGATTTGTTTGGGGCACAAAGGACACATGTCTAGTTATAGCTGGTATTTTCATCTATGTGTTGCTTAAATAAATACTGATTTATTATCTCCACCAAAGCAGTTCTGGAATGGATGGAGGAGGGGTTACTGAGACCCCACTCCTGACCCTGACTGCTGTTGAAGGAAGCAGAGGAACTTTTCTTTGCAATACGGCCACGGTATGTGGTTCACACCCCAGTGGCTGGCCCTGTACCCATGCACATCTGGGCAGCACTAATAGGATTCAATGAGTCATGCATATTTTTAAAAACAGGACAGGAAGTTAGAAGGGAGGTGTCCTGGGGATGCTGGGCAGAACTGAACTGGGAAGTGGCGAGCGGATACAATCAAGACCTAGCGCATCTATGTAAAATCTTCAAAGACTAAGGATCCAATTAAAAAGTGGGCTACAGAACTACATAGAGAATTCTCAGTAGAGGAGTCTAAAATGGCTGAGAGACACTTGAGAAAGTGCTCAACTTCCTTAGCCATCCAGGAAATGCAAATCAAAACAACTCTGAGATACCTGTCAGAATGGCTAAAATCAGAAACACCGAAGACAATTTATGCTGGAGAGGATGTGGAGAGAGGGGAGCACTCCTCCATTGCTGGTGGGAGTGCCAACTCGTACACCCACTTTAGAAATCAGTATGGAGATCCCTCAGGAAAATGGGAATCAGTCTTTCACAAGACCCAGCAATTCCACTCTTAGGCATATATCCAAAAGATGCACATTCATACAGCAAGCATGTCTGTTCCACTATGTTCGTAGCAGCATTATTTGTAATAGCCAGAACCTGGAAGCAACCTAGACGCCCCTTAACTGAAGAGTGGATAGAGAAAATGTGGTACATTTACACAATGGAGTACTATTCAGCAGAAAAAAACAAGGGAATCTTGAGATTTGCAGGCAAATGGATGGCACTAGAAAAAACCCTCCTGAGTGAGGTAGCCCCGTCACAAAAAGACAAGCATGGTATGTACTCACTCATATATGGATTTTAGGCATGAAACATGGGAGTATTATTATACAATCCCACAGCCAGAGAATCTGGGAAACAGAGAGGACCCTAAGAGAGAGATGCATAGTAACCCAGAGAAGGGGAACAGGACAGAATTTTCTGAGGGGATTGGGAACACGGGGTGGGGGAGGGAGAGGTGAGGAAGCTGGGAAAAAGAGAGAGGGTGAAGAGGAGGGGAGAGGAGGACATGGGGGAGCAGGAAAGTTGAGTAGGGGAAAGAATAGAGGAGAGAAGGAGGAGAGATACCATAATAGAAGGAGCCTTTATAGGTTTGAAAAGAGATCTGGCACTAGTGAGATGTCCTGAGGCCTACAAGGATGACACCACCTGGAAATCTAACCAATAGTGGAGAGGCTGCCTTAAATGCCCTTCCCTGATAACGTGATTGACAATTTCCTTGTATGTCACCCTAGAGCCTTCATCCAGTGGCTGAAGGAAGCAGAGGCAGACACCCACAGCTAAACACTGAACTAAACCCTTGGAACCTAGTTGCAGAGAGGGAGGAGTGATGGGCAAAGGAGTTAAGACTGGGCTGGTTTAACCCACAGAAACAGCTGATCTGAACAAGGGGGGAGGTCTTGGACCCCAGACTGATAGCTGAGAGGCCAGCATGGGACTGATCCAGACCCCCTGAACGTGGGTGTCAGTGAGGAGGCCTCAGCATCCTTTGGGGCCGCAGGTAATATATCAGCATTTAGCCCTCTCATCCAGATTGACTTTGGGAGCCCATTCCATGTGGAGGGATGCTGTCTCCGCCTGGACACATGGGGGAGGGCCTAGGCCCTGCCCCAGATCATATGACAGACTTTGGAGATCCCCCATGAAGGGCCTCACCCTCCTTGGAGAGTAGAGTGGGGATTGGGGGAGGGGCTGGGGGAGGGTTGAAGGGTGGTGGCAGAGGAAGGAAGGGAGGGAGAGGGAGCTGGGATTGACATGTGAAGCAAGCTTGTTTCTAATTTAAATTAAATTTTTAAAAAATCTTCAAAGACTAAATTAAAATGATTTTTAAGATGAAAATAAACTTGAAGCTCCTAGATAATAGCAGGAGCTCTTCAAATGTGATATCTCTCTACTTTTTTTTTCTCGGGCTGCTCTGTTTCCTACCCCATTTGGAAGAGCCCACACAGCTCCCTCCTTGTGACCACCTTGTCTCCTGCTAAGAGCCTCTTGAAATCACCGGAGGTTCGGAGGGTACAAGTCTCAGAAATGTTGACACAGTGGCATTTTCTGTTTGTTTCATTTCACTTGCCCCTCAGTTGCCACTGAGAAGTCTGTTCACAATAAAATCCCATGCTGCGAATGGCTCTGTGTGCAAGCCCCATACAGTCAATAAAACATCACCTGTTAACACCTTGTTCCTCTTGTGCTACTGCCTCTGGGGGGGTGGGGCGCAGTTATCCAAGGTCTCTTTGTAAGCCAGGCTTCACTGAAATGCAGGCATGTCAGAGTTAACTCTAGAACTAGGGATGGGTAGGGGAGCTCTGTTTTCTGAAAGCCCAAGTTGCTGTGAGATTAAGGCTCGATTATGCTGTTAATGTTTAGTCATGTGGACAGGTGACCTTAATCTGTTACATTTCATCAAAATATAATTTAGATTTAACTCTTTTGCGAGATATTTGGGACTGCTAGCAAATGTGTTCTCGGAAGTTGCTAGCGGAAAGAACCAGGTAGAAGATTGCTTTGTCCATGGATCTTCAAGAGGAGTCAACTTCGTCACAGCTTAAAATTCTGTTTGATGTGTGCAATCCTAAAGGCAGAAAATGATTTTGGCAGCAAAAGGATTTAAGCTGTGTTTTGTTTCATAAAGCTATGACGTATTTTATCTAAAAATAAAACGCTGGCTTAAATAATGTTAAAAAGAATATGAAACTGTAAAAGATCTTCTGTGGTCAAATTTTAATACACTTACACTATTAGAAACTAGTTCTCTGTGCCAGAAGGGCTTATTTGGCTTTACATTTCAGTATTGTGCTCATCGCTGAAGGAGATCAGGACAGAAACTCAGACAGGGCAGGATCCGGGAGGCAGGGGCTGATGCACAGGCCATGGAGGATGCTGCTTACTGGCTTGCTTCCCCCACTAGCTTTCTCAGCCTGCTTTCTTAATAGAACACAGGACTAGCAGCCCAGGATGGCAACACCCACCAAGGGCTGGGTCCTTTCCCTTTGATGGCTAATTGAATAAAATGCCTCACAGCTGGATCTCAAGGAGGCATTTCCTCAGCTGAGGCTCCTTCCTCTGATGACTCTAGCTTGTGTCAAGTTGACACAAAACCACCAGTACTGTGCCTAAAACAATATGGCTTTCTTTTTTAAAAAAAAGATTTAGTGTTTATTTAAGTGTGTGTGTGTGTGTGGCATATGCCACACCTATAAAGGTGCCCATGAAAGCCAGAAGGGACCTGCGTGGCTTGTGAGAGTAGCAAGCACTTTTAATCACTGAGCCATCTCTCCAACCCAGCAAATAGGGCTTTCTTAAAATTATTCCTCTGTTGCAAATGGAGAGGTGGCTCAGTGGTTAAGAGCACTAACTGCTCTTCCAGAAGAGTTTGGTTCAATTCCCAGCACCCACATAGCAGTTATACAGCTGTCTGTAACTCCAAGATCTGGCACCCTCACACAGACATACTTGCAGGCAAAATACCAATGCAACTGAATGAAAGTAAGTAAGTTATTTTAAAGAAGACACTGCTCTGCTCTTGGTAACATTTGCTAAACTTGACATCTTGCGCTGAATCTGTAATGCTTGTGACTACTTTGTAAAGTCTTTCAAAACAACAATATTTTAGAATACTTAACTGCATTAAAATTGAAGAGGGGTGGGTGTGTCTATAATGAAAAAGTTAACTATGTGTCTGACTTGAGTTGAGAAACATGAAAAAAAGTAAATAAAACATTATGGAAAAGTTACAGAACTAAAGACAGGCAACTTCAACTTTTCATGCATGCAATGTGGCCATGGGAATCTCTCTTTTATATACCATGAGTTATAAGTCAATCTTTAACATATAAACTGGTTGATAAAATTTGATAATTCTACTATTTCTAAGCAATATGATTCAGATGAAAAACCAGCAATTTCAGCAGTCTATTAATTTAAATGTCATCTATCTCTATTTTCCCTGACTCAATAAATGTTTTACCATATATAAAATGCACTTGTACTTCAGAAAAGGGTTTTATTAGCATTTGTCACCTCTCTCTCTCTCTACCTATCTTTGTCTGTCTGTCTGTCTGTCAGTCTCTCTCTCTCTCTCTCTCTCTCTCTCTCTCTCTCTCTCTCTCTTACACACACACACACACACACACACACACACACACACACCAGGAAACTATTTTAAAATAAGTTGCTTTCTGTTTTATCATCAGTAAATATTTATTTTGCATATCTAACACCTATATATTTAAGGACCCCACAAAACTTTGGACAAAAAGGGGTAAAGAGTGAAACAATTTAGAAATGCTGCTCTAAGAGAACTGAGGCAAGCCCCAAGGGAGGGTTTCTAAGCCAGAACAATCGCTCTTGCTTTCTGCCCTCCCACAGCAAGATAGATGGCAGGGGACAGAGATGTAAAAAGGAGCTGCTGATGGGACTTACACTGCTTGAGGAATTCATTGTGCCACTGAATAGGCCATAATAGCTGGTACTGGTTCCTGGCACTATGCACTCCCAGCCTGAGACTGACTCACACAAGCTGCCAGTGATGCTGTGAAAGGATGGTGCAGGCATTCTGAGGAGACAACGCTTAAGCTGAAATTGGAAGGAGTCAGAGTGTGGCTTGTGGGGCAGGTTAGGGAGATGGTGGTGGAGATGTGTGTGGGAATGTCCTGAGAAGAAATAAAGAGTGGATGGATGGATGGATGGATGGATGGATGGATGGATGGATGGATGGCAATGCATTTGGACCTTGAACATGATGGTTCAGAATCTGAGGGGTCATGACATTGTCCTTCTTCATGTAACTTTAGAAACTCAGTTAATAAGATATTTTGTGGTCTCCAGGGATTTGGTGACTCTCTGAAAGTTCAAAGAAGAAAGACAAGAGGGTCTGCAAAATAAAATCAATAGAATAAAAATAGGTCCAGCTGGAGGGATTCCTCCACCTGTGAGAGCTGGGCTTTGTGAAAGTCATGGTTGAGAGGAGGCATCACTGGAGAGTGTGGAAGGGAAAGGAGGAAAGGGGGGACTGAGTGCTTTAGTCTCCATTCTGATTATGGTGTTCTGGGATGGCTGGGACACACTGATTTGCTTAGGCATGGCAGCATTGTGAAGTCATGGGGGTTATTGGTTTTCAGACCTTCTGTTTGACCTTGCTGCCCACGTTAGAGATCTGCTCTTCTTGGGAGCATTCCCTGACTTTTCACCATCTCGATGGCACCTTTGTGTAATCACAGGGGTCTCACATAAACTTATTTACGATGTCCATCACCTTTGAGTAACCATTCCTTATATAGCAAACCCTCATCCTCTCCTTGAAGACACAGCTATTTTCCTCTTTCCTCTCAGGATCTTGCACAATGTCTGTCAGCAGACTCTCAGCAAATAGTTGTGGGAACACCAGACCTTGAGCAGAGACCCACTTCCCCTTCTGCCTGGGAGTAGGCAGCTGTAAGACAATGTTTAGTAAAAACATGTTTACTAAAAACGATACAATAAGTTCCTGGCCACTTCCCCTTCTGCCTGGGAGTAGGCAGCTGTAAGACAATGTTTAGTAAAAACATGTTTACTAGAAATGATACAATAAGTTCCTGGGAAAGGCCTTCCCACGGAAACCGCCCTGACCTCGACCTTGTCCAGAGACTAACCGCACCTTCAAAAACCCACACACATCCACCTCTGGGGTCAGAGCAGAACCAGCCAGGGGAGAGGAGAGAGCAGAAGCTTCTCTGGTGGGAGCTTTTCTTAGGAGGTTTTCTTGAACCTTTTTGGAGCCTGTTTAAAGTTCTCTTTATATCATTGAACGAGTCTCTGTGTTTTCAATACCCGACACCCTCCGCACGTTCTCGGACACAGGCCGCGCAGCAGACGTGACAAATAGTGTCGTATAATTTTCAGTCACCACCTGCCCAGTGTCACCCCTACTCCATGCTGTCCCATCCCTGAGGACCAGTGCCATAGGAAAATGCATCCCCACACACCAACAGGGCTACTCTCCTGTGTTCACAGCTGAAGACAACACACATCCTTCCAGGGCATCTCTAAATCTTCCCCGTGAGGAACCCAACATGCTTTCTAGAGTGTTTTTCAGAGGGCAACGTGTCTAAATAGACAGCAATGTCAGACCATAGGCTTGCTTGCAGACAGAGCTTTGGTGATCTCACCTGCTGGAGCCACACGTTTGTTGTCATCAGCTGATTCTTTTCATCCTAAGAAAGGGACAATTTAAAAGGTCGAACATTAAACAGTGTCTTCTGGACACAGCCCGATAGTTGCAAATATTAACTAAAAGCAGTTGCAACAGTGTACATAAAACCTGTGCAAGCCCAAGATAATAAACCAAACCCCAATGTGGAGATGGGGGTTGGTCAGGAAATCCCACGCCAGGCTGTGGATTGCTGGCCATTGTTAGTTTCTGGAGATGAAGAGATGGTTTTCTCTAAGAGGGCAACCCTGATTAAACCAACCACGATGCGCACATCCAAGAATATTTAGGCAGCATAAATTGGTGTTGAAGGGTCTGCACTTGAAGGTATGGTTGTGTGAGCAGGGAGAGAGCTGAACCTAAGAAGAGATTGGGAGCATTATCAAAAGAAAGTTGTATGAAACTCTCAAAGAACTAAATAAGGATGTGAATGGCTGGCAGTTAAAAAAGGATGAAAGTGGAGGGTTTCAATTTTTTTTTATTTTTCTTAGGGAGAATCCGGAGTCTTACTTTAGAAGTGCTCAAACCCCAAATGATCAAATATTTCAAACTTAAGAACAAGTCAGTCATATGTGGCCCAAAGGCATCCTGTGTATTTTGCTCAAGTGAAACTACCTATTAAAACAAGCAATAATTCATAGTGGAGATACTTTTATCAATCTCAGAAGGCTTTTGATGGTGCAACAAAGAAGGAAATTAGAGCTGGACTTAAGACAAACTTGGATAATTTTCCGGAAGGCATACCTCACCCTAGAGAGGGGAGAAGGCCAGAGAGGCTTAAATCGTGTGGGAGAAGTTTTCTAAGGTTTTCAGGACCATCATAGTGAGTTCCTGTCATTGGGCAATTTGAGTCTACAGCTTTCCCCACAAACATAAACGTAACAGAAGTGCAAGCCCAAGAGGAAAGTGAGCAGAGATGCTGGGGTGCAGGTGAATTCAGAAAAAGTGGGTCACTTGGGGACTTTAACAGGGCATTGTCATCTTTTCTAGATGTAGGAGCCCTGACAGCCCAGCTCGTAGACAACAGTGGGCTGGGATCTCACCTGCACCCCGACCTTCATCTTCCCGTCTTTCCTGCTCCCAACCAGGGGCCAGTTCTCTTCTAGTTCCCCTCTCCATATTCTGCCCAACAATCTGGCAGGGGACGACCTGCCATCCTTCCTCGGGACATTTCACTGGCTCCTTGGGGCAGATTTTTGCTCACCATAGCCTATCTGTAAAATGCCAGTGTCGGGAACGGGACAGATAAATGCCTGGAGTCCCAACAGTTAAGGACTGCGTGTTGTTTTGAACTCAGGGCACAAGACGACTCACCACATCCACGAGCTGAGATATTTTCAATCCAAAATACACTTTTATGGTGTCGCTGGAATTCAACACAGGGCGGACCCATTTCTGATAACCTTGGAACAAATGTCTGAGGAGGGCGTCTTCATGTTGGGCCAGGGAGCTGAGTCCTTCCGTGGCTGTAAGAGTCACCGGGGAACCTGAATTAAGGAAGCAACAGAACAGCTGGTTCAGCATCCTGCACCTGGAGCCTTCATCTGATTCCCATCCGCTGACTCAGCAGAGGCTCAGGTGAGATGCTCTGGACCCCACTCTCCACCTGCACCCCACTTCCCTGTACCACACTGGCAAAACCAGAATCTATGCTTTTTCGGAGACTTCTCATCACTGTGTGTGTACATAGGTCCTGGAAGTGTCGCCTAAAGCCTCTCACCTTACCCTCGTCCACTTCAGTTCTCACTGCAAACGCCACCTTCTCATATAAATGTACAATGCCTGCATGCTGGCTCCTTCATGGCACCGTGAATCTATCTTTTATCTCATCAGTTGGTTGTATATGTCTGTTGTTATTGTGTGTGTTGTATATATACATGCTGTATGTATATTGCATACCCACGTTGCCCTTGTATATATGTTGTATAAATACACATATGTATGTGCAGTTGCATTATGTGTGCATATTATTGTGTACGTATGTGTGTGTCACCTTTGTATGTGTAGTTTTATTATGTGTGTGTTGCCTTGTTATGTGTGTGGTATATGTACTGTTTTATAACATGTTGTTGTGTGCATATTTACATGTTATCATTATTTCCCCTCTGACTTCAGGTTGACAGGCACAGACAGCAACTCTTCCATGTAATAATACTCCACATTCAGAACAGGGCCTGGCCTACAGCAGGCACTCATTTTTTACATTTAACTTCCTTAATGACTCTGGGAGTTTTCCATCATTCACCCCAATCCTGCTCACTTCCTAGCCCCCCATATCTTCCTCTCATCCCTGCTGTGCCCCCACAAAAGGAAATAAATCCAAGTAAGCAAGCAAGCAAACAAAAATAAAAAAGAATCCTCTACTTTCCTGCCTCTCCAGCACCTCTTCATTTGTCCTGGTGGCACTGGAGGCTTCAGTGTGCCATGTAGCATACCTCTTGGTCTATCAGTTTTATTGCAGACACTCATCTTTCACACAAAATAAATGGTACATGGAAAGGACTATATCTTTACTGAGCACCCACTATATTTCTTTGTCTATTTTCTTGTCTTCTTCCCAATGGCATCTTCTGTGAGAAGTCCTTCCTTGTCATCTCTCAGGAAGAGTTTTTACAAGCTCCCAAATATGTAAGTCCCTAAAATGACCCTGACTTAAAATCGGAGCCTCAAGTTGGAGCAGTGACAAGGACAAGCAGTCCAATGAGTCTTCTTTATATTCTGGCATGTTCTGGCAAACCTGAAACAATACAGTCCCTAATTGCTGTTTTCAGCCTCTCTGTGAATGTTCGGTATCCTGTTGGTAGCCTAGAAGAATTAAATCTGTAGAATTTTCTTTACCCAAGAAGGCCCCTGATCCCACAGAGACACACACAATGGGCAACCGTCAAGCAAAATACTCCCTCCATGTTTACTAAGCCAAAATCAGAGATTACCAACTGGATGAAAGGCAAGAGGATCACATCCCTTTGTATACATGAGGGATCCACAGGAAGCTCCCTAAATGAGGAGCAATTCCAGGTGTACACATAACTCTCCCAGGGTGGCTAAGGCTAGGATAAGATGGGCTGAATATGGACATCAGAATAGAAGTTTCTCAAAAGACTAAAATTAGAACTAAGATGTGCATCAACTCCATGCCTCCTGGGCATATACTCAAAGAACTCTATATACTACTTAAGAAATATCATGTTCGTTGCTGCTTTATTTACAATGTCAAGGAAATGCAATCTGCCTAGATATACATCAACTGATGAGTGGATAATGAAAACATGGTACACAATGGAATGTTTCCCAACTGTAAAATATGAAATTAAAAGGAAAATGGGCCGGGCGGTGGTGGCACACGCCTTTAATCCCAGCACTTGGGAGGCAGAGGCAGGCGGATCTCTGTGAGTTCGAGGCCAGGCTGGACTGACAGCCTCCAAAACAATACAGAGAAACCCTGTCTCGTAAAACCAAAAAAAAAAAAAAAAAAAAAAAAAAGGAAAATGGATGGAACTGGAAGGTACACTGAGGTAAACAAGACCCAGACAGACAAATACAACATGTTCTCTCCTTCAAATATTTAGATTTAGGTATGGACTTTGAACTTTCTGCAGAAGTCATTATGATTTAAATAAATTTTAAATTTTTAAACAAAAATACTGGGAAAAAAAGGGATATATCACACTTTTCTCTTGGAAAAAGATTCCAGTTTCAAACCCTGAAAGCGTTCTTAGATGTTGTCTTAATTAATAATTTATAAATGTTAATATTAATGGATTAAAAATACAAGGATTGTGCATTTTATCCTAACACTACATATATGCTTGAAACCAATGAGAATGCTATTTGGTAAGAATTTGACATTTTTTTTCAAAATCTGTAATACAAGGAGAAAAAGAGAAGATGTGATATTAAATTTTATTTATTTTAAAAAATGTCTTCCAACATGTATGGGGAAGGGCCTCCTGTCCCTAGCTGAGTTAATGTCAGCTGGGGAATGGAGAGTCATTTTTCTTGAAGGAGGTAACCACTGATAAGTTGTCTACAATCCAATAATAACCCAACATCGATGCCATGCAAGCAACCCTAATTAAACCCAGAGTGCTTTAAGGGAGGAAAGGCATGAAAGTGGTTGGAGGTCAGGCTGACAAGAACAGTTGTAGAGTTACAGAGTGTGTGGGAGGGGAACAAAGTAACATAATATGTGGGAGTATATGACTAAAATGCATTGAACTTCTCAGCAATAAACAAAAGTTATTTTTTAAACACAACAAAAAGATGTGGGCTACAGCTGAAGTGTGCCTCGTCTTTTCCACTCAAGAAAGCATATGCAGGAATACAACATGCATTAAAGTACAAGCATTAAAGTGAGCAATAGGGAGAAGAGTGGCCTCACATTTGGGCTTAGTCATGTAAAAGCTCACCCTTCTGGAACTTTAGAGCAGGGCAACAGGGCAGCTGCCAGGACATCCGTGGGTCAAGGGACCTAAGAGCTTCCTGGAATGTCAGGGGAGGGGTAAGATGGAGATTCCCTGAAGCCTGATGGAAAAAGGATTCACTCAGCTCCTCCTTCTCCAGAGTTCAAAACAGACCCAGATGGCTTCTCAGCATCCCCACAGCCCATCACCCCTTGCCCCCATGTCACAGACTGCATCCCTGAGTTCTGATGACACTCTGTCTCTCTAGACTCTTCTACTGCACTGAGTCAAGCATATAAAACCAGATGAGTCGTGGGTCTTCACTTCACAGCCACCACTCTCCAAAGAACCACAGAGACTGGACCCGAAAGAAAGTCTCCGCTGGTCCTGGGTTCTATAAGAAGGTGGACTGAACAAGCCATGGAAAGCAAGCCAGTAAGCAGTGTCCCTCGGTGGCCTCTGCATCAGCTCCTGCCCCCCCCCATCCTACCCTGTTTGAGTTCCTGTCCTGACTTCCTTCAGTGATGGACAGCAATGCTGAAATGTGAGCCAAATAAACCCTTTCCTCCCCAACTTGCTTTTTTTGTCATGGTGTTTCATCACAGTAAAGAAACACTAAGACACCTACTCTTGCCAATAAATAGGTCATCCAGACAAACACTAAACAGAGAAATGCTGGAGCTAAATGATGGAAACCAGATGGGCCCAACAGATAGTTACAGAACATTTCACCCAAACACAAAAGAATATGCCTTCTTCTCAGGAGTGTTGTCCATGAAACTTTCTCCAAATTTGACCAGAAAGGAAGTATCAGCAGATACAAGAAAATTGAAATAACAATCCTGCATCCTATCTGACCACCATAGATTAAAACTGGATTTCAACAACAGAAACAACAGAAGTCTTACAAATTCACAGAGACTGAACAACTCACTACTGAGTTGGGTCAAAACAAAAAATTTAAAAAGAAATTAAAGATTTTTCCAGAACTGAATAAAAATGAATACACAACATACCCAAACTTATGGAACTCCATGAAGGCAGTTCTAAAAACCAAGTCTGTAGCATTAAATGCCTAAATTTAAAAATTGGAGAGCGCTCGTACTAGTAACTTAACTGAACATCCAACAGGTTTAGAACAAAAAGAATAAACCACACCCAAAAGAATAGACTGCAAGAAATAATCAAATTCAGGACTGAAGTCAATAAAACAGAAACAAAAAAAATCAATGAAACACAGAACTGATCCTTTGAGAAGATCATAAAATTGATAAATTCTCATTCAAATTAAGTAAAGGGCTGGCAGAGAACATCCAAATTAACAATTTTAGAGATAAAAGGGAGAATATAATAACAGACACTAAGGAAATCCAGAGGATCATAAGAACATATTAAAAACCTGTACTCATTGTATCAAATTGGAAAATCTAAAAGAAATGGACAATTTCTTGATAGGTATCACATACAAAAGTTAAGTCAATATCAGATGAGTGTTTTAAACAGATCTATAAATAAACCCTAGTGAATCAGAAACAGTCATTAAAAGTCTCTCAACAAAACATACAAACAAAAGAACCAGGACCAGATTGGTTTAGCAGAATTCTGTCAGATTTTCAAATAAGGCTTACTGCCAATACTCCTCAAATTATTCCACAAAATATAAACAGAAGGAACACTGTCCAGTTCATTCCATATGGCCACAGTTACTCTGATACTTAAACCACAAAAGACCCAAACTAGGCCTAACTTCCAGTGCTCTGAGCAGAACCACCGGAGACCTGAGGACTGCACACAGCACAGCAGATCCCATCAGGATGGGATTCAGCCCGTCCAGAGACTGCCAGCACCATAGTCCCATTCTCCACCCACAGAGCTAGATATACCTGGACCTGTTTACAGCCCGCCTTCCAGTGATCTGTGCACAACTAGCCAAGGCCAGGGTACTGCATACTATAGCTCCCATCCTGCAGGAGCCAGCCTGCCCAGAGACTGCCAGTGTCCAAGTCCCATTCTCCACCCATGGGCCAGGTAAGGCTCCAGCCTACCCAGAAATTGCCAAGGCCCTGATATTGGGACAGCCTCTA